CAATTTATCGAAAAATGATTTAAATTAAAATTATATACATTTTCGCCATAAACAGTAAAATTTAGCAACAATTTGCCGAATTAGAATTGTTGAAACAGCTCCCGTCCGACAGATTATTGTCGGACAATAAGTCTGTCATTGTATAATAATGTGGAAATCATCTTTCGTGCTGATGTAGTAGCTTCCCTCAGTAATAGAGCGAATACCGTAATAGTAAAATTATTGATACATTTTATAAAATTATGATATAATAATACACATTGTTTGGCGGTTATCAAACAAAATTTTTGTTTAAACCATAATTTAATATTTTTCATTCTTCCTGTAAACATTATACAACGTGATATAGTATAAATTTCAATTTCAGAAATAAACGATACACGGTGCAACAGTTCACTCCATTATTATTAGTGTTGCCCAAATGCGAGATCGAGACAAGTCTTGGTCTTGGAAACTCAGTCTTAGTCTAGGTCTTGGTCTTGCGCAAGACTCTTGTAACAGTCTTCCAGTTACCTATTGGCTTATTATTAGAGAGATGTTACTATTGGTTTTTAGATATGAGAAACCCAATCAAGTCTGAATGAAAAATTAGAAGACTTAAATGCTAAAGTATATTGGTTACACCAATTCTTTACACATGGTAACTAAAATTGTCAAGTATTAATAACCATTTTGCCTCAACTTTTAATCAAAAAATCGATTTTTTTACCAAGCTTGATCTTGGTCTTGCAACAGATAAACCAATGTTGGGCAACACTAATTATCATTTGAGGAAAAAGGAAAATTAGGTCAAATGGCCTAAGGGGCTGATATATTGGTTATAAAAGTAAGATAACTAGATCGGTTTTCAGTTTATTATTAGAGAAAAGAATGAAGTCTTCACTTAAAAAAATAAAATATACAGGATGAGTCAGGTGGATCGGGCCAAACTCTAGTTTGAGTTACACACAGGAAAATAATAATTTAAAAAAAAATATATGTTCTTCTCCGAATTTTATTTGTTTAAATTGTATTGATTAATTAAAAATAAACAATATTTTATTATAAATGTAAAAAAAATACGAAGATTGACTTCTAAACATTTGGATGAATGATTTCTAAATCGTTGTATATGTTGTGTTGGTCCGATTATTTGGTCTCCAAAATCCTCAAACCTGGATTATTGTTATTAGGGCTGGTTCAAAAATGAAGTATAAAAGTTAAAAGTAGACTGGATGAACTAGCTCAATGTGATAAAAATAAGACATTAAAGAAAGTTGTGAAGTAATCAGGAGGGCAAATGTTCAGAAGTCAATGACGGTATTTTCGTACATTTATTAAAATAATACTTCGATAGCCAAAACGCTGTAACATTTATGGTTTTTTATCTGTAATTAGAAAATAAAATTTAAACCAATGAAAATCGGATAAGATAATGCTTTGATATTATTTTCCCTATGGGCAACCGACTTCTGAAGTTTAGTTCGTTCTTCCCGAATATTTTATATATATTTAATAAATAATTGCGTGAATATTTAAATATTATAAGACTGAAATATGAATACAATATCTATTTTACGGTTGTAGAATGTACTATATAGTAACGTTTGTATTCTAATTAAAAAAGTTTCCTCAATGAAGATACCGGAGTTTGGAGTTGATATCATTATCTAGGGAAAGGAGTATTTTCCCATTTCCTTTTGGAGAAATGATTTTCCAGCTGGAAAGGGCGGAGCGGAGGACGGATTCCAGTTTTAATACCGGCGGAATATGGAGGAGTTTAATTCATTCTGTATCAATAAAAAGGAGACCATCGCTGGAAACCTTTGACGTTCGCTGTAATGAGGAGCTTGCTCATTAGCGAGCGTATGTGTTTCTGCTTTTCGTCCTTCGCCTCACTTCTTTTATTCTCGTTTTATCATCCCCATCCCTAAGTGCCTTTTCTCTTTCTCTCCTCTCCTATTCAATTATTTATTTCTTCGGTAATTATGAATCGTATGTCCTTGTGATAATAAGGAAAGTGTGATGATCTGTATTTTTTATAAATATTATTTACGCAGCAACAATGCGTTATAAATATAATATTTTTTTAAGCAGAAAAAAAAGTCTTATTATATGATTTCAATATTTATCTATTTTTTAGAGTTAATGGTTGAGTTCTTATTTAGTTGCTAAAATAATCTGAGCTGTGCGCATTTCAATAAACCTTTAATACCACTATTCCATTAAATGTTATTTTTATTTTATTATATTACATGAAAAATATAACTAATAAATTTGAAATTGGTAACATGACATGTACAACATGAAGAGAAACTACCCATTGGTAGCATTCCAATTATAGTTCGATGTTAGAAGGTCTCGGAGCCATCTTCTTTTCAGACGCCTCGGAGGGATATCAGGAATAAAAGAGAAAGTAGGGTTAGAAACAAGAGGGTTCTGATCGTTCAGAGGTTTATTATGGAAAGATAGGTATCTGGATTGAGCTAAATCGGAAACATATCGTAAATTAAGGTCGTTATGGATGACTTTATTTGTGTAAAAGTAAGGAGTATTCAGGATTTTACAAAGGATTTTGAATTGCAAGGAATGGATAGGAGAGGAATTTGAAGGTTTACTTGAGCACCAAAGCTCGATTTCATATGTCCAAATAGGACTTATAGTCATATATATGTATCATTCGTAAATAATTGAAAGTTTTGAGCATTTGAGCATTTGAGCATCTAGTAAGTGTTGGAGTAGTCAAAAACGTGGAGCGGTTTCTTGTTGTTTCAGTCTTGTATGAGGATTCCAAATGAGACGTTTGTCCAAGTTGAAGGTATAAGATTTGTTCAACAGGTATAAGTGGGGTATTGTTAAAGGATACGATAGGGCAGAAAGTCATAGTTTACGAAGAAGGGCAAAGGTAATTTGATTGGATTTATTTAAATTTATTTTAATATTCCAGTTTTGACACCATTCTTCAAGACTTGTGATATATTATTGAAGAGTTTGGGCTGCAATTGATGGATCATTATTAATTGATAGGATACAGGTGTCATCGGCATTGGCCATTAAATGATAAATTGTAAATTATTAATTTTCAATAAGTCTTTTTAAATGACGTAAGATGCCGAAACGTTACCATGGTTTTGGAAGAAATAAAAGTTTGTTGAAATGTGTACAGTTCAGTTATTTTAACAATTATCTCAATATTTTTTTTAAAACTTCTGGCATGCTTCAATATCAAAAATAATATTAAAATTCGTTGTGAAATAGACTTTTTTTTCACATAATAGAGCCACAACATGAAAAAAAAAATGCAGTTAAATAACAATAGTTGTTGTGAATATGTTTACAGAAACAAATAATTTTGAATGCGCAATAAAAGTTTAAAACCCACTTTTCTCCAAGGTTAATAGATGAGTCGTCGTGGGAATGGTTACACACCGTGATTTAAGTGTGTGAGTGAAATTATTGGGTTGGATACGCATAGAATAATCAAAAATGCAATTATTGCTGGAACATGAGAGAAACCTAAGAAGTTCATGGGAAGATGGGATTTTCTGATCTTATCGTTTTATTGGATTTGTATGGAAGGATTTAGACGGTATCAATGTTTACTATCTGATAAATATTTTTGTTTATTGAGACTGGTATTGTTTTAAAAAACTTTAATATGTAGGATTTATCCATTGTAATGTTACATATATTAATATTAGAATATTTAAGAACAAATTTTCCATAATAGCATTGTTCAATTAAGTATCATTCATAACGATCTGGAGAAAATTCAAATGAATTATACTTCAACATTAGGAAAATATATATCCATTCCTGGTAACGGATAATAACCCCTACTTTATTCAGAAAAATAATATGACTCCCTCTTTAAGTACCGAATGCCTATCGTCATTCCACTAGCGTATAGTCAATATATTAGTGGAGTGATGCAGTCTTTCATCTTGGAGTGCACGTCCATAATGCAAATGCAACATGGAATAACGTAATTTACACGCCCGCATCCGCTGCACTGACTGTTAATGAGCGATTAAAATTTACATAAAAGGCGATGCTAATAAAAAGAACATGAGCAATATTTTTCAGGGGAGGTGGAAATATAGCTTCGGATTTAACATCAGGAGGGCTCTACGGAGAAACAGGAGGAAACAAGCTTCGAAGATAACTCATGAAAATTTTCGCCTGATGCACTTTTTAAAAGAAGGCTCTCAAATTGTTTACTCCTTTTTTCAAGCATTGGATGTATGTTTCTTCGGAACGGTTTTAATACTAAGAATGTTTTTATATTATACAGTGAAAACTGCACAAGAATATAATTCTTCTATAATGTTTCAGTTAATGCATATAAATTCAATATAAATGTCAAGATTCGTAGAAATTTAGATAAATAAAACAACACCGTAGCTATTTATTTTATTTGAAAAAAAAAATTCCTTTCCTTGAAAAGACAAGGAATATTTAATACGCTTTCATTATTAACTCATTCATTAATCAACTTTTTTCAATTTCAAAAAAAAGGAGGTAAGATGGGGAAACTATGGGAGTGGGTGAGTTACTATGGGACAGCGGATAAAATTTATTTTTTGGTGATTCTCTGGTCTATAAACTGCATTGTTCAGTCTGTAAAAACGAGATTTGTGTATGCATGTATTGCAAAACTACCTAATTTACTAAACTCGTTGTGCAGTTAGGTTTTATTTGTTTCCATTGCTTAGTTCAAATTCTTGTTTGAAAAGTTCGCTTGTGACTCAAGATTAATGTGCCGCAAGGTAGTAGCGCAGTACATGTCTCTTCACAACGCACGTTTCTTGCAGAATGAACCAATACAGTGTACCCACCAATGAATCACCACAAGCTAAATTTTACCCGCTGTCCCAAAGTTACCCACCCAGTCTCAAAGTTATCCCATCTTACGATATTGGTTTGAAAAACTTTTGAAACATTAATGTAGACATTTTAATGACGTAGCAACTAAAATAGTCATGCAGTAACGTTATATATTTTCCAATTATTTTGCTTACTTTTAGGTGTGCCGAATCCAATTGCGTACTCTTCCCAAAGCCTGTTGAACTGGACCGATCCGTCTTTCCTCCTCTGGACAACGGTCCATCCGGATTCACAGGCGACAAGGCGTGGCCTTCCACCAAGGCTGATCATCTGCAAGCTGAGGCCATCACTTCCTCGACAATCTGTTATAAAAAGTAAAGATTCGTGCTGTATTATTATCATTATTATTTATAAAATATAAAAAACAAGACAATATATCGACATATATATACCGTGAGAAAGTGCTTGAAGGTTGTCTTCATACTCAGAGATAATTTCGTTCAGTTTAGACACCACCTCAGTTGGATTATCACCAGGCTGCAAAATAATATGTAAATAGTTAATTTACTAATTCAGCTACCGTTGAATCTAATTATTTTTTTCAAAATAATATTTCTGAGAGAACACAAAATTAGTTGATTTACTATTGCAATAATATGGTTTTATTTTTAGGATAACATGTTAAAATATGTGTTGATTATGTAGTTATGAGATATAATCAACTGAATATTTTTGGTAGTATACTTAATTAGTGAAGTAATACTCAATTCACATGTACTTAAATTACTTATAAACTATATAATTGACATCAGAAATCCTGTAACCTAAAATTTATAGTTAACGTATATTATTTTATAAAAAACACTGAGAAAATTAATCATTTGACTTTATTTGGACAGAAACGAAAAGAGACATAAGGTTATTATTTTATAAGTGGAAACATCCAAAAAAAAAAAAAAAAAAGCCATGAGTCTTCGAACATATAAGTGAGTAGTTAACTTGTCAACGTTTCGTCAATTTAGGTGTCATCAAGACAGATAAACCAAGTGGTATCGAACTATTATTCCACATAGAATAATAGTAGATTTCAAAAATATGTACATTATAGATATATGCAGAAAGAAAAATTAAAAACGAAATTGGGGTGATTGGGACGTGGTATTTAGCCTTTAATTTATTATTCATTTTTATATCAAAGAATATTATTTTATAATAATTTACAGATTTAGTCTTGGTTTCGTCTAATTTATATGTTAGTATATACATTAAAAAATTGAAACCATAAAGCCTTGAATCTATAACATTCAGGTGGACAGCTAACCTGCCAACATTTTGCCAACTTAAACATCATTAGGACAGAAAAAGAAGAAAAAATTTAACAGATTAACTGTTCATCTGTTTGTTAGAGATTCTTGGTTTTATGGTTTAGATGTTTTGGTTTATATTTGACTTGAGAGGATCAAGGCTTTTAATTATGGTTAAAAAAAATATTCTTATAATTTAAACTTTAGAACTAACTTTGTTTGAGGTTTTTGGACAAATCCGTTTCGTTTTAAAATTATTATATTTAAGGTTTCGTCCAAAAAAGCCAAACACATAAACGCCACGCACAGATAGTCCATGTGTTAGTTCCTATTTTATTTCTAGCCTGTTTTATGTTTTGTGAATAAATCACTATTAGTACATTCATATCTTATAGTATTTTTAATAAATATCATTATTATCGAAATGGCTAATACTAAATAAATGTTGATGGCCCCCGAATTCTCCACATTAATAACGCGGACACAAGACAACCCTTGGGTATAGGGGAGGGCAATATGGAAGTACCAAGACTAACGGGGGGTATGCTAACGATTTCCGATCCCCTTAGACCATCATCAGAGACCCCCCGATCTATTTTTCAAAGGCCTCTTCCACACCACGTGCACACGCATCGCCCGTTTTTGGGGGTACTCAACCCTCTACCAGTGTAGGAAGAAAGACTTGGAAGGCTCATTAGCAATTGGCTTGCGCAAGTCCGCTTGTTTGCTTCTGCGGTTTTGCAAACGTTTTTAGGCCTCTATGTTAATTAGCACTGACCCGGAGGTTGGAGTCAAAAAGAGAACTCGGTTTTAGACAGGCACCACAGTAATGTAATCAACTTCATAAAGGCCGTTTGAAATACTTTTTTTTTGTTTTAATTACAGCTCTTCATGGAAGAAAAAAAAAAATATTTTTTTAAAACGTCTATAAAACACTACATGTATGTAGTACAGCTTTTGATTTGCATTGCTGATAATACACTACTATACTGATAATACTAGTGTAAATTAAAGTTATAATTTTGACATTATATTTAATAAAACATTGAGTTCACATGAATTTGATTGATTTAATGAAAGTAAGGTTAATAGATCTGTTTCGAGCTTGTTATTAGAAAAAAGAATCAATTCTTCACTAAAAAAAATAAAATATACAGGATGAGTCAGATGGATCAGGCCAAACTTTAGTTTGTGCTACCACACATGAAAATAAAAATAATACAAGCAAACACATATGTTCCGATTTTTATATGTTTAAATTGTCTTAACTAATTAAAAATAAACAATATTTCATAATAAATTTTAAAAAATATGACCGTTGACTTCTTAACATTTTCTGAAAAGTGTGGATAAATATTTCTACTTTGTTTTTGAAAATTAAAAATTGCAAACATCAATATTCTTTTTATTTTTTTCAAAATTCAAAATCACATATTTTTTTGTAAATAAATAATTTTCAATAAAAAGTCGAAATAGTCATTTTTCAATATTCAATATACAAAAAAAAAAATTATTAGATACAAAGAAATTATGAAAACGTTCAGTTATTAGATATATACCTTTACTTTCTGGTGTTTGAACTTCATCATTTTTACAGAACTCACTTTTTCTTGCATCGATGACATACTGGAACTCAGAGCTTGTACTGTCATCTTCTGACTTTTCTGTAAAATAAAAATTACGAATAATTTATTTATGTAGAAAATCATTATTAAATACAATACGTTTAACGTAAAACAATATTCGAATTTTCAGTGTAGCAATTATGCATTTAAAGATTGCTGTCATTAATATTCTATCATTACTTAATCTTATTTTTGAAACTAAACACATATTTATGCACAACTACTTGTCAGAATAAAAAAATAAATTTTAATTATTTTTTAAATATATATTTCCCGCCTAAATAATTCTGCTTATGAGCGTTTAATATATTTTTTGCCTTTTTTCTGTTGGCATTTTAGACCTTGTAGGTTTTCTACCACCTTGCAGTTCTATAGTAACTTTGTTGAATCGATTTATCTATTTGCTTTTTGGCCATCCGCTATGACTTTAATATGTAAATAAATTTTCTTATAAAATTTTAATATAATTGCATACGTTTCTACTATTTTTTTTTTTCTTTGAAACAAATTCGGTTTCAGTTCAGTAGTTTTAACATTTAGTTTAAGAAACAGAAAATAACAAGTAATTTAATGCGATTTTTGTAACTTGCTTAAAAACAGTTGAAAAAAAAATAATTAAAATGCCACTAACATTAATGACAACATTATACATATAGGTTATTAAGGTTAATCCATGCTGTCTCCTTAAACATGATGAGATGAAATAACGACTCATTTTTAATTTTATGTTAATTAAAATTAAAAAAAAAGTAATTCCTATATTAAAAACAGTTCAAACTTTAACCAGTTATTAATTATTATTTTATAGAATTCTAATAGAATTATTAATTATTATAGAATTCCGAGCACATTTGGTGCAAAATTCACTTGAATAAGTTCATAAATTAAAGTAAAAATTTAATATCATGAGATAAAACTAATTCCAAACGAAATATTAAATTATTGAGCATTAGTCAATGGGTTGAGCTATCTTAACTGATAACCAGGAAAGTACGGAGATCATATAGGTCATTTCCTCTAAAAGGGTACATATTTAATTAGCTAAATTAACTTCTGCTCTTTTTTAATAACTTAATAATAATAAGAAATTGAATGGAGAGGCTAAAGTATCAATGATTACACGCAATGAATAATTAAATATTTGAGAAAAGAGATTTTCGATGGGGAACCGAAAATGAGGGTGTACTTCCGTACAAAAACCAGTAATATGAAGGGGTGGTAGGACCTACCAGTCACAACATGCACTGTCAGAGTTCACACAAAAACATGGGCATGAAGCAACATGTTGCATGCATTGTATCGCATTGTCCAGATTTTCAACCAATCCAACAGGCTAAAACCCACTCAAAAGCCTATGGTATATTTTCCGTTAAAAAAAAAAATACATTATTAACGTTGTTATTTCAGATTTACTTTAAAAAGTGTTATTTTACCTATTTTTTATTTACATTACCTAAATCTCCTGCCAAATTAATCACTAAGCAGACGAAATTTCTCAAATGCAAGTTTTACACCATAATACTATGTGAATAAAACATTTTAACACATAAAATATATATGTAAATGACTGCAACACATGTGGTTCCTGTTAGGAATACTCGACGCAGATTTCAGAAATTGGATTAGAATCAATCACTCTATGCAATTAGCAAACTCTTTTTCATGTTTCATTGACTCGTTAGAATGAGTTTAAAAAGTGATGCATAGGGGCTAGAGGTCAAAATTCATTGATTCGCTTTCACCATCACCTCACTCACAGTCAGTAAAAGACAGTAATTTAGATGGTGATTCACTATGATTTTTTTTCAAAATCATCAATCAATCATCAAGTAAAAAAACTAATCACTCCATTTGAATTTGTCCTTTTTAATGCTAACAGCACATAAATTCATTTGCATTCATGCCTGGATTCATTAGTGCCTTAACCGGATAATACAACTTAATGGAATGCACAAATTGCAAATACCTACGAATTTTATTGGACAATAGAACAATATCTGACGCTTATTCGAAATTGATTGTATAACTTTGACCCGTGGTAATTGAAGCTTTTATTTTAGATTTTTCTTAAAATGTCATATTACTATTCCCTTTGTGATTTTTTAAAATTATATTTAAATAAATAACTATTAACTAACCTGTTCCTCTTTGAGCAAAGCAACGTCTTGTGCCACCCTGGCAAGATCAAGCTCGGACCGCGAGATCTCCTTCCTCATAGCCGGCAGGCTATTGTCTACCCTTGTTTCCAGAGCTTCCAGTGACTCCAGCAGTTCAAGAACTGATCCATGAATCTTCTCCAAGCTGGAGTTGGTCTCAAGCATGTCGAGCCTGGAGTTGAGGCTCACTACTTCGTCTTCCGTTTTCGCTTCCTGTTCGGCCAGAGCTGCGACTTCCGCTCTTAGTTGGCCACGACCGTGTCTGTGCCTGCTTTCGACCTCTCTCTTCACTGGAGGTAACTGTGAAAGATAAGAAAAACATTGATTAATTGTCAATACAACAAATTCGATTAACATTAAAATAATATACCAATAGGCAATAGCTATTATTATACTTATAACTGATTATTATTACTTGACATTGCCTTCAAAGTTAAACCTCGTATATATATATATATCTATCCGTTTATAGTAGACAAAAACAGTTGATTGAAATAAAAAAAAATATAAAAACAGTATTGGGAGAAGATTTATGATTCGACAGATATTCCATCTAGCAATCAAGATCCCTAGTCATGGAGATAAAAGGTTTATTTCCACTCGATTCTCTCGGCGCATGCAATCGAAGAACATTACTTTCAATAACATGGACATGCGGGGACTTAAAGACTATATGAAGGAGTATATTTTTATAAAGGAATTTAGGGCACGTCTTATACGTTATACGACCAATATCTACAATATTGGATAAATATTGAACAACTCAAAGAAATAAAAAGTATATTCGCATTGAATTCATGAATTGGACACTCAAATAATTTGAATAAACCTTATTTTATTGAAAAAAACAAAAAAAAAAAAAAAACATTTTGCCTCAATCAAGGCTATTCAGTATTTGAGATGTGAGAAACTCATTCATACAATATATGCAATTACAAAAATAGTAAAAATTATAACAAAAAATGAGGGAAAGAAAGCTTGCTAAAGCAGGTGAAATAAAATATGATAGAGCACTAAAAATACTCTAAAATTTATTTTAATGCAAATAATTTTGATAATTTCTTAAATAATCACAATGATAACAAGAAATATATATATATATGTTTGTAATATATATATATTTATAAATATTTACAAGATCTCACAGAATAATTTAAGCCATAGAACTTGAAAATAGAAAATCGTTACATACCTGTAAGCGGACAACCCAAACACATAAATCTCGTGTCGCTTCGATTAGTCGGGTAATAAACAATTTCTTTTTTATTTTATGTTTTAATAGTTCTTGCAGTTAAATACTACGAAGAGTTATGAAAACACAATTAATAAATCAAATTTCTTTCTGAAAATTTCCTTAAGACAACTGAAATATTTCATCGCATCAAAACCACTACATATATATATATATATAACATATGTAATTTAAAATTACATACATAGCGAAATGTTAACTAAATGTTATTTAAATTTTGATAGTCTATCAATAAAGATTATTTAAATCACTAATGCAGTTTTTGCAAATTAATAAAAATTATGACTTCTACACCGATTATGAATTAATCCATTTTTCAATGTTTTAAATAATAAAAGGTTACCAATGCAGAGAATAAAATATTTTTTAATATTATTCTTTTATCGAAATAAAAACCATTCTTTTGGACTAGATATTTAATGTTCCAATTGAGAAAAAATTAAAAATCTAATCATCGAGAAACGGGTAATGGTATCGAATTTAATGGACATTGAATTAGGGCGGAGAAAATAATCCTGGCAGAAAAATTAGCGCCTCGAATTCAGACAAATCGTTTCGTGAAGACAGAGGAGTCATCACTCAGCTGTGCGGTTCCCTTTGGCTTTTCATGAGCTCGCAACATTTTCCGCGGTAGATGAAATTATAAGCACTCAGTCTTATTTCCCAAGGCCCAATGACAAGAGCTCTAACGAATTCATTAATTCTACCACCGCCTTGTCTCTCGTGGAAAAGGCTGAATTTAGGAGTTGAGATAAAAATTGGTTGCGATAAATGAGAGTCGAATTGATGGAAAAATTAAGTGAGGAAACATGAACTAATTTATATCGTTCTCTGGATCGAAATAATTATTTGATTAATTCGGTTTAATTATTTATTTGAATACCTTGTATAGCAGAGAATATTAAATGCTTTACTGTGGACTGATAATATTCATATAAGCAAGGGTAAATTATATTTAATTTATATGCTTTCGAGATTATAATATTTTTTCACACATTTTTAATACGATAATATGATGTCAGATAATAATGAGTTATTAGTAATAATAAAAATTCAAAAATACTCAGCCCATAGGCTATGTTCAAGGGAAAAATTTATTTTAAAATTAAATTAAATTCACATGGCCTGAATTCCTCTTGCCACAACAACTTAATAGCCTTAAGTAGTAAAATAAAGTATTGTTAATTAATTAGTGTTTTTATTATTATTAATAATAAAGTGAAGTCCAAACTAAATGTCTGTATATAAAATAACTCATTATTTAAGGTCGCTCTTTTTTTCTACTTAAATCATTATTTCTAGAATCTTTTGTAAAAAGGATAGTAATACATAAACAAAAGTTAGTTTATTTCTGAATTAACGAGTCTTCAAATAATAAATTAAATTTTTTTAATCGTCTAATAAGATACTCATTTTTGTTTAGGCATCCTAATAGATTGCTCCGAGCTAAATGTCCCGCCCATCTTAAACTCCTTGCCTACATATACACGAGATATTGATTGACTAGTTTCTGTAATCAGTTCTTTTCCTGCCTGCGTTAGTTTTCTGATTCGAAACCTCCTCCTTTATCTTCTCGAGAATTTTTCTCTCAAATCTTTCAATTATTCATTCTGCGGTGTGGGTATGTATAAAATATCTTCTGCAAAAACATCACATGAATGGGGGCGGGGTGGCCGAATGGGATAGCGCGTGTGTGTGCACAGCGCCGCGAGTTGCCCAGCAAACAGATAACCGAAGTTGTGAGAGATTAAAAAGTACGAGTTCGTGTCTCGGTGCCGGAGGAGATTTTAAATTCCCCGAACTCATCCCACAGTCCAGGAAAACCTCGTATAGCCTAAAAGGCGTGGTAGGGAAGAAAAAAAAGTCTTTAATGATTTAAATAAAAGATTTAATTATTTTTTATTCTCGATAAAGGCCAACTCTGAACCACGAATATATCACTTGATCATTTTCTTTTTTTTCGCTTCTTTTCTCCTCCTCCACACTTCTTTTATTCTCGCGGAGTGCTGCGCCATACTCTCCTCCTTTTTCTCTACACTCCTCTTTTCTGCTGGAAAGACCCTCATTGGTCAACACGTTTTAGGCATTCGACTTTATAGATACAAACCTCGTTAGCAGTTCTTACTCGTTCTTACTCAATCTATTTCTGTCCAACATGACTACATACCCGTAAAATCTCACTCTTCTTTTTCTCTAGATTTAAATTTATTATTACCATTATTATTTTGCTCTAAAGCATGCCTCCATGTATAATGTATTCAAAACTATATTTAACTCATTAAATGATACAATTAATTATTAACCAATTACTTTCATAATTTTTTTTTTTTTTTTTTTTTTTTTTTTTGACTTCATTCTTCAACTCACACCTGTCAGAAGTTCCGACAATCAGCGAGTGTGATGTCAAGATGAAGAGATTGGTCTTGGAATAGGCGTGAGGGAGAGGAGTACCCAGCGGCGTCCTTCCTGTCTTGAGCGTAATATTTCTAGTTAGTGGAGGAGATCCCTCATCCAGCTTCTTTTAAGCCTCCTTCGGGTGCTATCGGGCATGTTAGTTGTGGCCATGCCTCGAATCAATGAGTTTGTATGTCCGTGTAGGTTATTATGGAATCGTTTGTAGTATGTTCGTATGTGGTCGTTAACTGTTGGCATCTGTAAGTCTTTATGTAGAGTAATGTTACTGACGTACCAGGGAGCTTTGGTAATAGTCCTGAAAGTTTTAGATTGAAAAGTCTGTAATTTACGTATGTGAGTCTTTTTGGCTGTCCCATATATCTGTAAAGCGTAGGTCCAAATAGGCTTGAGTAGGTAAGTATATGTATTCAATTTCTGTCTAAGTTTTAATTTCGAATTTCTTGCAAGGAGTGAGTACAATAGGCGTAGTCTTAGGTTTAAAGTTTTTGTTTTGTTTTTGATATGTTGGCCCCATGTCATTCTTCTGTCAAAGGTCAGTCCAAGATATTGAACTTTGTCTGTCTGAGGAATTTGGATATTGTCAAGGTAAATAGGGGGGCAAGTTTCACGTCGAAGGGTAAAAGTGATATGTTGTGATTTGTCAAGGTTGAGTCGAATTTTCCAGAGTTTGCACCAGTCGTAGAAATTGTTTAGGTGATATTGTAAAGTCTGTGAGGCGTATGCTGAATTTTGATGTCTTGTCAAGATTGTTGTATCGTCTGCGTAAGTCGCGGTCAGAGTATAGAGAGGATCTGGAATATCATATGTGTAAATAATATACAACAGAGGAGCGAGTACTGACCCCTGAGGCACCCCTGCTAGGGCTGGTTTAATGGTAGATAGTTCTGTACCTTGGCAAACAGAGAAAAATCTGTCAGAAAGAAAAGATTGAAGAATAAGATAGTAGGTTGGAGGGAGTATAGTCTTAAGTTTGAAAAGAAGTCCCTGATGCCAGACTCTATCGAACGCTTGAGCAACATCCAGAAATACTCCTGTTGCATATAATTTGTGCTCTAGTGCTGTCGCAATGTAGTCTGTCACTCGGTGTAGCTGATGAATGGTTGAGTGGTGTGAACGAAATCCAAACTGATGTTCAGGTATTATGTTTTCAGTAGTCAGTATGTCAAGAAGTCGTTTGTAGAGAAGTTTCTCAAAGATTTTAGAGCATAATGGGAGCAAGCTGATGGGTCTGTATGATGAAGGAAAGTCAGTGTTCTTGTTAGGTTTGTGAATCATTTTTATGAATGAGTATTTCCATTGTAAGGGGAATTTAGTCGTTCTGAGTATTGCGTTATAAATTGATGTTAGGTATACTAGAGCTTTCCTTGGCATTTTCTGGAGCACTTGAGCATTTATCAGGTCATGACCGGGAGCTTTCTTTTTAGGTAACTGTCTGATTTGTTCTGCAACTTGAGTGGGAGTGAAGCAAAGTGGAGGTAATGACAGTTGTAAAGGAATGTCTAAAGTGTTTTGTACATGTCTTTCGTGATCAGTATTAGAGAAGTCAGTATGTGGTATGAAAACAGAAGAAAGATGGTTGGCAAAGAGCTCAGATTTTTCAAGGTCTGACACAGCCCAGGAACCATCTACGTTT